TAACCTCATTAAATTACTAGAGTTTTTGTTTTACAGACAAGTTCGGTATAAACTCTCTGTATTGCTTGGAGCTGTTACATGTAGTCATACTTTGAAACCATGAAAAAATTATAGCGTAGTCATCAATTGCTTGGAAGCATGACTCTCAACAGTAAACTAGGATGGGCTATGCTTAGACGCAACAAAATCACAAATGTATGGAAATTGTTTATAAATGCTATAGAAAAAGTATAGGTTATCTCATTTTATTTTTGTTCTAACTATTATATGTATTCTTTGTACTCTTCGAACATTACACATTTTAAATAAAAATGAAAACTATAAGAACAAAATATCCCGTCCCCATGAAATTTGCCTCGCTAGGTAACTGCTTATTTAATGCAGCCTTGGAAAACTGTAATATGGACCAGATACACCACACCCTTTGGAAGGTAGTTAAACCAATATTTATTTTACCTGAAGGAGTGTTGTAGTGTGACATAATTTAACAGTGTGTGTTGCTGAATCACCGAAAAATTTATCTTTACTGTACCGACACCCAGCAGCATAATGGAGTTCGTTCGTACACTATCGCATTTATTGCTTTCACCTTGTCTCATAATAATTTCTATGACATGTTTCTGAAATAAAGTTGAAAATTTAAATAACTGTAATGGGCATTAGTTTGTAAAATAACATGTACGTCCCATAAAATCCGGAAGCTACCGATCACATCACATTGAAGTAGTGAAACTGAGAAGTTAGTCAAAGGAGCTCCAATGGGACATTCGAACGCGACTCCAAATTTCCTCATCTTAATCAACGAGTTTACAAAAGCGCTCTCAGATGTCGAATAAACCACAAAAACGAACACTTCCGAAATCCAATTTGATGCGATGAAGATAATAGCGCTTCATAGTTTTGCAACAAAATTTGTAGTCACGTACATATTATCAAGCTTAATATGAAATTACAATGTTAATTTTCAGCTCATTTTAGCGCGTTGTAAGTTTTACGGGTAAATAAATTTTAATACTTTATGGTACAGTAAACTCCGTATCACTAGAGAAGTAACTATGAAATGTATACATACTCAGTTATTATTAGACAGCGGATTTCTGTCGGGCTACGTCACGATTATAGGTGGGGACGCGCTGGATCGCCGGGACTCAGTAGCGGGTGATAGATAATCATTGAATTTAATCGGTACTAATTCCATAAATATAATTAACGATTTATTAATCAAACGGCTAGGTAAATGAGAACGGGAATTAACAGTAGAGTGCAACGAAACAGCGTTATTCTAATCTCAAATAAACGAAGTGCAGTCCGTAACCGCAATGAATTCCCATCCCGTACGAGCCGTACCAAGTTTGGCCTTGCCTAGCCCGACAGAAATCCGCTCTCTAGTTATTATCTCACAAAATCTCTGTCGCTTCCAAATGGTAACAAAAATGCGATGTGTCAGGACAAATTTTTCAAAATTCGTATCTAATAATTCATTGTGATGACGTCATGAGCTTTTCAATTTTCATGTATGAGAATAAGAAACTGAAACAGGTTGCTTATGTTTACCTTTTTAGAACAGATATTAGGGTTTATGACATTTGGATAGCAGTAAATGAAACTATAATTCTAATGGGCAATAAGTTGCAAACATTGTAGTGGGAAAGTTATCTGTAGAAATATCTTCATCTCTTCCAAGAATTTAATGACGTATTTTCTTAATTCCTTCCCGTTTTTAGAACTGTGTGTATATACATGATATCTGAAAGAAATTACACAGAATAACGTTCAACCTTTTCATTTTTGGATTTATTGACTTTTCGGCTTTTCAGTGTCGTTTTTTCGATTTTTTAACTTTTCAGCTTTTCGATTTTCCAATTTCTCAATTTTTCGAATTTTCGAATATTCGATTTTTCGACTTTTCAATTTTTCAATTTTTCGAGTTGTCGATTTTGGTAGATATTTCAGTTTCTTATTTTTTAGATTATTCGATATTTCGATTTTCCGGGTTTTCGAATTTTCAATTTCTCAAATTATCGATTCGAAGTACCGATTTTTTCAATCCTCGATTTTTCGTCTTTACCACTTTTTAAATTTTTGGTGTTTTCGATTTTTCACTTTTCAAATATTTCAGTTTCTCGATTTTTCGACTATTCGATAACTCGATAATTGGTATTTCAACTTTCCGATATTTCGGTATTTTAGTTTTCGAATCTTTTATTTTTCCATTTATTGATTTAAGACATCAATTTTTCAATTTCTCGATTCTCCAATTTTTTACATTCGATTTTACGACTTTTCAAATTTTGATTTCTCGATTTTTTGACTTCTCGATATCTCGATTTTTTATATATTTAATGTTCTTCTGCTGAGTGGGAATGAAAACTAATTATAGAATCTAGGATGTGAAAAATTAAAAAAAGCGCTAATCGTAACGGTTTTTGTTAAAATCAGTCTTATCCTAGCAAGTACTAGCCCCACTCATCTGTCCTCTATTTTCTTGGAAAATGTCATTTGGCAAAATCATTATTATCGTAGCAAGTACTTGCCCCGCCCACCCACCCTTTATTTTCTTGGAAGGTATGTCATTTGCGAAAATCAGTCTTATCTTAGCAAGTACTAGCGCCTACCCTTTCTCATTCTAATTACTAATTTTGTTTCAGTTCAGTGTAAAATCATTCATTTGATTCAGATCGGTTAAAATCAATCACTCAAAAGGATACAGGGTGGGTGGGCGGGGCTAATTATGTTCTTCTGTCAACTGGGAGTGTAAACTAATAATGGAATAATGGAACAAAAATTAATAATAATTTCCTTTTTTATCTACAAATTTTTTATGAAGAGCTATTTTGACGAAACTTTAAAAATTGCTGTATTTCAATCAGCGATTTTAGAAAAACGGTAGAATTTTCCGAAGAAACGAAGACAAAAATGACTTCTGGATATCGAAATCTACAAGAAAATGTCTTCAACTAATTTTCGGATATAGTTGAAAATGGTCGAAAATGTCAAAAATACCAAAATCTGTCATATCTTATCAAATACTTTTTTTTTTATTAAACAAGAATTATTTTTAAAGGTGTTTGCAATTTTTTGTTTTTCATAGTAAATGTCTTGACGTTTATTTCCAAATTATCAGAACCAAAGAGCTAACTCTGTTTTACTTAAAAAAATTGTGGTAATAAACATCAAAGACTGATATGCAAACTTGTTGTTGGTTGTGTTTTGAATTTTTTAGGTAAGGAGCTTCTCATGAATAACCTGCAGTTGTTCTATTTACTAGACCATGAAACATCCACAAAATAAAGTTAATAAAGCGGCACAAAGTAAATGGTTACACTTTTAGCTTCAGCGGGAATTTTTTTTACATTAAGAATGCTTTTTTTAAGATTATTGTTTACTCAGTTTGCTGTAAAACATGGTTTGTGTAACGTAACAGTTTTCCAATAAGTTCTAATTAAAAATGTTTTTAATACATACGAAAACAGTCCAAAGAAATTAAAATTGGAACCATCATGGTTGTCTTCATTTATCAAACTGATTAATACTTTTTTTGAAGTTTTTATCACCATAATTTGTTTCTTATGCAGATAGTTGTTCTGAATTAATTTTGACTCATCTGTAGAATTGAAACACCGTATGTAATGAACACTTTCAGGAATTACCATGTTAATGAACCTTTTCTGTGGTTCATTTTACCATATCTCAGTAGAAAAACATAATTTTATGTCACTGATGACTGTTTTTTTAAGTTCATACTTTGATATTGCAACGTAAACTTCAAAGGAGTAATCATTTTTTGTTACGTTAAGTGGTGCAGCAGAAAATGTTTTTCCTGTCGAATTCATGGAACGCAGTAAAGTACAGAAAAATTGTAGCTCTATAAAAGGTAAAATAATTTGTTTTTTGGTTAAGTTTTTAGCGAGTATCTAAAATAACGAACGTTAAAAACATTGCTCTAGTTTCCTCTCGATACCTCAACGTATGGCGTAGCGAAGTCTAACAATAATTTGAGGTTAAATCGACAATTCGGAGTTCGGATAGAGACGTGCGATCTACTTCGTTCAAAGTTTGACAGTGACAGATGTCAGATGTGAGATATACGATGTTAGCTACGCCATACATTCAGAAAACATCTGTGCATCGAATCGTAACTAAAGATGTATTTTACATTTATATACCTACATACCTATGTAACAAAATGTTGCTTAAATTTATGATTTTCACTAAATAGACGTTTGAATATAGACATCAAGATGGTGAGGGGAGTTTTAAGTGGATTTAATTTATTTAAAGAAAAAATTGTGTTTAGATAGTGCGAAAAAGTTGCTTATTTTTGAATGAAATTAAGGTTAGGAGTTTGTAACTGATTACGAAAATTTGTTAAATTTGTTTACAATGTGAAACTTTTTCTTTTAATTTTTTACTTTCTAAGCGAAAGCTGATTTTTGGAAAGTACAAAACCAACTGTTCTGAAATTTTGCGACATCTTAACAGTTCTCATAGATATAAATGTGGTAACTGCTTATCCCCATTAACCTCATCTTATCAAAATATTATAGGACTATACACTTGAGGTTTGTCAGTGCGGTCATATTTTTAAGCCTGCGTGTTCAGATTTTTGAAAAAACATTTTAAAATTGTATAAGAAAATTTTTCAGTTTTTCTTAGATATACTAAACCAATTGCTGTGAAATTTAGGTCATGCTTTGAGGCTATGATTAGCCTGACGGTAGTACTATCTGAACTCTTTAAAAAATCATTGTTGTGATGATGAAATTCTTGGTTAAATTTGGAAAAATATACTTTGTTTTGTGCCAATGAAAGAGAAAATTTCGGACCATCGTATTGTTGAGTTAGATGATTTTTAAAATATCTTCACAACCTGTTTGCTTTTTTGAATATAGGTTTGAGTATTCTACTGCTTCTTAGCCAACTAAACTACCTGATTGATCAATTTTATGAAACATTTAGTGAATCAAATTTTTAATTAATTTAATTGTTTTCTCTTGCAGAACACCGAAAGAAGAGTTACCCGCACATGCACACGCCTATCAAAATCGGCTCAAAGTCGATGAGACGTCGTACATCTTCGCATCAAATCACTCCTAATTCTACGCCTCCTTATGGAACATCCCCCAAAGAATCCATCGCATCCCCCGTTTCCACCTCCGACCAGCCGTCAGCTCCCACACACACCCCCGTTCCTAGCATCAAGTCTCCCAACGTAGACTCGGATACGGGTCCGCTCAGCTCTTTTACTTTGGCAGAAGAATCTGACACAGCTGCCAACAGTTCCGAGTCGGAATGCGTTCTGTCCGAACCCTGTGGCTATAGAAGCCCTAATGAATTTTCGCCAGAAAGAAAAGTACAATTTATCAACAGTGAAACAAGGGATACTTTCGACGTCGATGGACTTAAAGACAAAAAGAAAAGGTGAGTTACCAGAGAAAGATCAAAAGATTTCGTGTATTTCGTTTTTAAGGGTGGAACTTTTAGTTTCGTCGCAATCATTACTCCTTGGGAGAACTTTAATATTGGCCATCTTGTCTCTAACACTTGCAAACTTTAAAAGTTAATTATGCCAGTTAGAACGTGTACGTTTTTGATTAATGGGGGATCAAACTTTTTATTAAAAATTCGTTTTGATCTCCACAGTTTGCGTTAGGCTAAAACTACTGAGACGAATTATATTTTGGTGTGGCCAACGTGCAGTAGAAAAAAAAAATTACTTCTACTTCTCAAACTTACGCCAGGGAGGTATTGTAAGAGTATTTGATGAATTGTTTCGTTTTCATCTTAGTGATTTGATTAGACAGATCTTAATCTCCGAAACTATTGAAGTATTTTTTGTGAAATGTTATATCTATTTCACCTATCTGTCTATAGGTGGTAAAACCCAATCAAAATTTGTTCGTCCCTCTCAAAACTTTGGTGAGTAATTTCAAAAGTTTACAAGATAAACCTCACTTCGAATATGAATATATTGTTGTGCAACTATTGGAGCAACTTATTTTATATTAATTAAGTTAAAAACGTATATTTAATTTTCTCGAAATTGTAACAAATTGTAACGTAGTGAATGGTAATACATTGATTTTAAGTCTCCATTGAGCAATGTTGTTTCAGTTACATTATGAGATAAATTTAGAAACAAGGGAGATGTCATTAACGTTTGACCGAATAGTGGACTGTCCAGTGAAGTTGGAAATATCTGGCTTCAGATGTTGCCTTGTAATACATCTGCAGTTATCAATGGTTGTTTGAAATCTAGTTAATTAATACTTGTTCGTTCTTTCTATATAAATAAGACTTAATTACAAGTAATTAACAATTAATTAATTAACAGATAATTAATTGAATCTATAATATGGGAGCTTAGCAAGTAATAAGTTACGCTTTATTTTATCACGCTTTGGAATAATCAAACACAACAAGGATTAATGAAACTTTTTCATCCACAGTACGGATTAAAATATCGGATAAACGTAATAGAGTAGTAACCGTAGGTACTGTGATTTTATCTAAAGGCTTGACTGATGGTTCACACTATCATTTATTTTCATAAAATGCGTTTTGAAATTTTGGACAGGTTTAAGACTTGTGCTGCTCGGACGTAGTTCATTCAGAGATCCGGGGGAGTTTACTTTGGGTAGAGATCTAATTAAGGCTGTTTTACAAGCAGTAAGAGAACAGCCGCACTCAATACAACAGTTAATTAATAGGTAACATGGGAAAGTGTAGTTGGATTACACAACTGGATAGTTTCTAAAGAAATGTAGTCTTCATCGTTTCATTAACAAAGTGAAGTAGAGCTCAGAAATGTCATTTTTTACACGGGTTTGTATTTTACGCATTTTAGGGAGCAACAACAATGGATTGTGATACGAAAGAGCTAGATTCTAAGTTTTCGAAAAAAAGAAAGTACGACGACAGTTATCGGTTTTATTCCGGTTAGTAATGCAGAACATCCGGATGGGTAATGCATTGCTTGTAGCAAAGTTCTGGGAAACAACTCTTTATTGATTATTTTTTTTTTACAAAAATTTTTTGAAGAATTTCGCATTTTTTATATTAATACCTAATTTGTTAAAAGTCTATTATAAAGTTAAGTTTATGGGTACGAATCTTGGGGTTCCGTAAAATTTAAACTTGTCTCCTGGGGTTCCATGATCAAAAAAGTTTGGGAACCGATGATCTAGAGTCTAGACCAAACTAAACTGTTCAAGTGATCAAAGAAGATTCCATTATTAAAAAAATGCTGAATTTTCCCAAAATTTCTAAAGAGTTTGTTGTGTTCTGCAACAAATTGTAGAATTTTATACTGTTATTATTATCATTCGGAAAAGCTGGATACGTTTTAGACTTTACTAAAGAGGGTTCTGTTTAAATAACCTTGGGCCATTTTTTTACCGATAAGTCATTTAATGACAATCACTTAACCATATCTTGCGATAATATCGTAGATTTTTAAGATATGGATAGACACATTTTGATTATCATTTTGTCATCTATACATTAATCCTAAAATGACATTTAAAATTTAAGATAATCAGTTTCGTAGTTTCCGAAATTTTCTGTGGAATAAACGAAAGGCCGACATTGTGCTCAAACTAAAGCGAAATTGTTCATTATTAATTAACTTAAATTCGGATATGATTTATTTAAATTTAGGACTGTTTCATCTTAGTATGTATTAATTTATGATCAGGTGTTGCTTTCCACGTTCCAAATTTCTTTGTTCAATATTAACTTACAAGATGGATGAAAACAATGGGAAAGAAGTTTTTGTTTTCTGAGTTATGTTTAATTGTTTTTTGTTAATGTATGTTTATATAATTTCGGCTTTGAGGAAGCGCGCCAGTTATGGGGCCGAAATATCAGCATTAATAAAAAATTGGTCGAAAGTTATTTTATCCCTCGCTTCTGAAGTGTAATAAAACATATCCAGCTTTTTCGAAAACTTACAAAATTTGATTCTGTAATTTTTTTATGAGAACCTCTGTAAGTTAAAGTAAAGATATGTTGTAACGTTAAAGTAAATGTGAAGAAGCGTGCTACGCATATGTTTCAAGTGAATTTCTCCATTACAAAATTTTGTGATACTTTATCAACATTTTTGCAAGGACACTTTTATCAGTTTAGATAGGTGCAGTGTAATACTAACAATAAAACTATTCAGTAACTCCACACGAAATGAGTCTGAGTGAATAAAAAATGAAATAAGTTGCACAAATATGAGAATGTTGAAAATCAGAAGTTTAAAGTCTTAATCATCCGAGATAATATTTTTTTCTAAAAAAAAATACTTGTTAATGTAAAATATTTAGTCTTTTTTAAACCATACTCATGTTAACACTTTTATTAGCTCTTTGTGCTTGGTTTGATTCAATTGTATTTTCGCTAGAACAAAGCACATGAAAATCTTAAATACTTATAAATAAATAATAAATACATTGAAGGATGAATTTTAATATGTCATGTACAAGACACCTAAAATCTACTTACTCCTCGTATTTTTAAGCGTTGGATATACATCAGATTTTACACACAGCCGTGACTGTATTTTAATAAAAATTTATAGGGATGGTTTAAACCAATTCACCCGCAAGTTAAAATTGATATGCAAAATAAAAAATTGATTATCTAGCTATTGAGTTCATCAAATTTCTCGAATGGAAAAGCAGAAGCTCTAAAAAAATGTAACGGGTGTGACAAGTCCGAACGTACAAAAGTTAAAATTAATTGAAATTAACATTGATTCCAAACTGCTCTTGATGGTGAGTGCAACTTATATGACATTAAAAAAAATATTTGTGCAGGGTGTTACTGAAATGCACGTATGAAAAAATTATTAGTGTTCTGTGAACTCTAAGGATTGAAACAAACCTTGGTTTTTTAATCAAAATTATACAAAGGAAAATTGACCTCTATCTTTGGCTCTTGTACACTGGTGGCAAATAAATAGTATAAACCGTTCAGAGTGTTTTTAGACAAAGGTATCTAGTAATATTTACATATACGTAATTTCCATTTTTACTAGTTACCACAAAATGACAAAAGGGAGTAAATAAAATAACTGAATAATGTCACCATCGCTTTTGCCCGCTTCTTGTGCTTCAGAAGTGTTAGTAGTGTTAGCCTTTTGTTTCTTGATCCATGGATCAAGAAACAAAAGGCAAACTGTTTTTTTTTTGCAACTGTGAGAGTAATATGCAAAAGGTAACCGTTCTCAAGTCAAAAACGTTAAAATATTAAAACGTTAATAAAATTGTTCTTCTTGTGATATAATTTTATTTTATTATGCCAGTTTTACTATAATTTTTAACATTTCACGTATGTAAGCCGTTACACTATTTAAAGTGATGCAGTATAAAATTACATGGGTTATTCCAAGTAATTTATGACCAAAAACTCTTACCAAGTCTTCGTTAGTTTGTGTATTGAAGGAAAAGCAAAAATGGTTTTGAAATTCGCAGAAATAGTAAAATTTGTCTTTAAGACATTATACTCAATTTTCTACCAATCACACCCGTGACGCCATATTTTGTTTTCTCAGTCTCTTACCCATTAGTTTATCTCGTCAATTTTTTTCTAAAAAATTCTTGACACTGTAATCTACATGCTGCCAATTGTATTTGTTCTAAAATATCTCTGATTTAAAAGAAAAAGGAAAAAATGTCCACACTCTTGTCACAGCCGTTACATATGGATTTCCTGTATTCTAATTCCAATTTTTCGGGAAAATGGAGTTAGCCGTTCCTGATTAATCAGTAAAATAAATTGGTTCATTCTTTTTTTTTGAGTCACTCTGTATAAGCATTGAAAAATGAATGTAATGATAAATTACAAGTATAGACTCATGTTTTGCATATTTTAGATATAATTTATTTGGCAGAATTTTGGATAACGCCATCAGTTTTAGGTTAAATACATAAACAAAATTCGTTGCTTTGGATTTTATTAAAATTAAAACTTTAGTATTACGACATGAATTGTCAAACTCGGAAAAATCTGTACGACCTGGTTGATTAAGGTTAATAAGTGAAAAATGTGTTTAATAAACTGTGAACTGCATACTCCAAAAATGATTTTTTCAGGTTATTTCGACGCAATCCTGCAGCCAAATATTTATTTTAATTTAAAAATAACATCAACATTTTTTATATTGGTGAGTTTAATGCACAAACCTAAACTGTTAAAAAAGTATGGGTGATGTAATGATTCAATTTTGTAAGCGGTTAAATAAAATAAACATAATTTTAGGAAACTACAATTTTTGCATTGTGTTAAGTTTGTATTTTCTTGTAGATGTTGTTAATTGTATGAATATTTGAACAATTTCTGTCAATACTTCAAGAAGCTACTTATTTGTGTTTGGCATTTTTATTCTTTACTTCTTCAAAGCGGCTGCTATAGCGGAGATCGTAATAATG